CTGAGATCTGAGGATCAAGGTTCAAAGCCAGCCCAGGCAGGAAAAGTCCATGAGACTCTCATCTTATCTCACACATGTACTTTGAATATTATGATTGTTTTTGACCACCTTTCCTCTCTCCACTAGTCTGAACCCTTCCCCCACCCCCTTGACTTTTCCTCCTCTGGGTCCTCACATATTCCAATAGTGTAACAGCTCTGCACAATTAACTTATAGTTCAGCAAAATGAATATCATTGTGCCTCTTAAAGAGTCACTGGAAATTCTTTCCCCAGCTTCCTGACATCAAAAGGAAGCTCCATTAATCAAGTTGTTAGGTCCAAACAATTCAATAGGCCTTAATGTCCAAGCATACTAATGATCATTTTGAAAAGTACACTTAAATCTTTTCATCTCATTCTTAAGAAGCCACATTTACTTGTTGATGGCCATGAGAGTTGGTTGAGGAGGGCTCTGGAAACCAGTTCTGAAGGATAAACGCCCCCCAAGACAGCTACCAATTCTGCTCACGTGTCAGCCATAGATGATAATTAACTCAAGAGGGTGTGGTGATGTGCCAATAAAACTTTATTTATAAAAGCAGAAAGTGGGCCGACCTTGACCCTGGGACTAAAGTTTGCAGAGCATTGCTATAAAAGCCTTCCAGTATCCCTCACCTGTCTTGCTAGAGAGTTGAGCCTAGAGAGGCTAGCTATCTAACTGGAAAACAAGTAGTCCATTACACCCAATCCTTGGCCTTTTAGGCTCTCTGATATACTAACACCATAGAAATCCAGAGATGTGAGGATCCATCAAAACTCAGAGCAAAGATGCCCATTTCCAGTACCTACAAATCCACCCAAGGAACCCAAGGTTTTGGGTAGAGATGATGCAGACTTACCAGAAGCTAAAGGAACAGAAGTTGGTAAGGATGGAAGGGCTCAGGGGAAGGACAGTGATGGCGGAGTTGGTTCAGCACCTCCCTTGGCCATAGTGGCTGAACGCTTCCTTCCTTCCGATCCCTGTCCCATCTCTTGCCTTATTAGTCTCGCCCCTCTTTGTCATCTCTGCTTTCGCAGGCCACACCTAGGTGGAGTTTTCCTCTGAAAAAGAGCACTGCAGATAGTATCTCAGTATCTCAGACAACAAACAAGGTCAGACTGAGTCTCATTATTAGCTGTTGTAGCAACCAAGTAAACACCGCAGAGGAACTGGAAGTGCAATCCAGGGAGCCACTGCCAGGGTGCAGTCACAACACACCTTCTCTTCCTGGGTGGCACCACACTGCTTCTGAAGCTGTGTGCCTGAGTTCCCACAGCTCCTGGCTGGGCAAGCAGCATCTGGAGGATCGCCAGTCTTACAACTGATCTCCTATAGGTGTCTTGAAAGGTTACCTGGTCACCTGGCCGATTGCCTCTTGGTGCTCATTCTCACCTGGTGGGCCATCTCCATTTCTGTCACCAATTGAGTTGTGGGTCCACTCTCACCTGTACTGGAATTGCCTGGAGATGCAGCCACAGGTTCTGTGGCAGAGCTGCTGAATGAGTGGCTTGCCAAAGGTGAAGAGACTTAGCTGACAGCGGTGCCCTAGCCTTGCCCCAGTGCACGTCAATGGCTGAAACAGATGGCAGCCGCACATAGGCCCAGAAGTCTGCCTTGCCATTGGCCAGCCGTCAGCCTGCAGACTCCTCCCATATTTAACCTAAAGAACGGACAACCTGGGGCTGGGAAGTTGGCTCAGTGGTAGTGTGATTGCCTCGCATGCGTGAGGCCCTGGGTTCGATTCCTCAGCACCACATAAGCATAAAAAAAGCCGGGAATGGTGCTGCGGCTCAAGTGGTAGAGCGCTAGCCTTGAGCTGAAGAGCTGAGGGACAGCGCCCAGGCCAAGAGTTCAGACCCCACGACCAGACCCAAAAAAAAAAGAACGGACAACCTCAGTATGCAAGGGCCTTGTGGTGTTCGGTGTTGGTGGGAAGCTGAAAATGGAGGTATTTATTCTGGAACTAGCAGAGAGGGCATTTCCATTTGTTAAGCCTTGGTATCTTATTTCCCTGCAAGAATAAAGCTTTCCAAAAACAAAGAAAAATGTCCTGCTACACAAATATAGGTTCTCTTTTCCTGTTTTGGTTTCTTTTTCTGCTTCTTGAATAATTGACTTAAATACTGGGAACCTGGGAGTTAGGCATCATGAATTGTAATTCTTGTAGTAATGTACAACCTGGCCCACAGAGGACTTTGTGGGGAGGAGTGGGTTTGGGGTGTGCACGTGTAGGTATGGGTGCACTAGGGCTTAAACTCAAGGCCTGGGCACTGTTTCTGAGCTTTTTTGCTCAAGGATAGTACTCCGTCACTTAAACAACATAACCACTTCTGGCTTTTTGATGATTAATTTTAAGGTAAGAGTCTTACAGGCTTTCCTGCCCAGGCTAACTTCAAGCCACAATCCTCAACCTCCAGAGCAGCTAGGATTACAGTGCGAGCCACCAGCAGCTGGCTCTCTGGACAATTTTTAATCAATACTTGGGGAATACATGATTGAGTTTCAGAAACTCAAGCAGTTTTACTCCAGAGAGCACTGTGACTGCCACCTCTCTCTAGGTAAAAGCTCTTTTAACTCTGGGTTCAACATACAAATAGAACAAACAATTTCTCTATCGATTCTCTATCATTTCACCCTCCAGTTCTGCCCTGGTGTCTTCCCCAGGATGGGCTTAACACACAGGCCGCATCCAAGAAGAATTCCATTGTTCAGTCTCGTTTCCAGATTATTGGCAGTGTTGGCTTAAGTGCCTTTAAGCATTGTTTTAATTAAATACAAGTCTACCACAAATCCAAAAGGCTCTCCTCTCTCATCCTTATCACCACTCAAGTCTGAGCTTTCAAAACACAGAAATAAATCAAAACCACTTCAGATGACCATTCTCCTGGTGAAATGACAGCTATTAAGGTATGGACTTAAGTATTTTGAACCTACAGCGTCGGCAGCATGAATTCAGATGCACTGTTCTCGCAATAATATCCAGCCTGTCATACTTATGAATTCTAAATGAATACTAAATTAATCTCTCATGGTCTCTGCCTGAACATCTAAAACTAATAAAAAAAAAAAAACCAGCATGTGGAGTTCTGTTCATCTAGGACAGGAGTAGGAGCTGGAAACTTCACCGTAGACAGGGCTCATTGCCTCTTGTGTCTGAGAATAAAAGCTTTATCAAAACAGCTACGCTCTGCACACACATACCGGGGCTGCTTTTGTACTACAGGAGAACAGGTATCACGTGACCCTTAAAGCTCAATATGTGCCCGTTGTAGGAAAAGTTGGGGGCATAAAAATGAGACTCAGTTTCTCCATCTGTAAGATGGGGATGATCGTTACTCTTCCTGGAGCTATTGCAGAGATTAGATAGCACAACGAAGTACTTAGAACTGTGCTCAACAACAAACAAATCCTGCTAGGGTCCCCTACCGGAACTCTCTTTTCTGTGAAGGCTTCTGTCCCTAAACAGCCTGCATAGGCTCACACTCAGCAATGACAAAGAACTTGCCTTTGCACCGGTACTAGCTTCAGTCTTGCTTCAGAAATTGACTTCATTAAAATGATAATTATGCCTTTAATTCCATTTTCTTTATCTGCTCCTATGGCTTATTTCTCCCTCCCCACTTCCACTGGCTGCCAAGGCTGTAGAAATTCGGGGACATCTCTTGGGAGGTGGCCTCAGAAGGAAAAGCCCAGGGACAATCGGGAGAATGAAGACTAAGGACGTGGCAACGATGTATAACAATCCAAACTCGGAAGAGACAAGGATGAACAGGGCCGGGAGGAGGAGGAGAAGGAGTTCAAATGCTGTGCAAAGAAGCTATGGAGAACCCAGAGAGAGCAAAGTAGGACAGCCCAGGAAAGCCATTGGCACTCAACTGCTCATTTGTCCCTAGCCCCCTTTGGCTGAAATCAGTTCTCCTTTGCCCAGGATGCTGAACGCCTGAAGAAACACCAACTGTCCTCGGAATCCCAGAGAACAAAGATCCGAGGGACCACAGCAATGCAGATGAGATGCGGCCGTGCCCTCCTGCAGACCCTTGAGCCAATGAACCTTTTTATGGCTCTAGTTTGGACCTTAAGGGGAAAAAATTACTTTCCTGAGACTGTAGGCAATTATTGTATGGTTAAAAATAATAATACTCTTGGAAGGGTCTGGAATAGAAAAAGCATACAAGCAACATGAATTCACCTCCCTGTGTTCAAAGAATTGAATCCCAAGGACTTGAGTGTATCATTCAACACCTATTTATCAGTCATGAGCATTAGGCCAGGCACACTTCTGGGCCTAGAATCAACCAAGGAAAATACAGACCATTAAAGTAAATTGAGACCTCAGATATACAGTAAATACTTAACAATACAATCCTGCCTCAGGCAGTATTTATGCCACACATCTATTAGAAAACCATATGCACTGTTTACTGTCCAGATGAGTCAGCTTCCCTGTATTTTACCTGGCTACCTTACTAGCTTAGAGCAACCTTGCTGGCCCTGTTTTCCTGTGTAGCTTTGTAGGAACCCAAAAGCCCAACACTCACATGACTCAAGTCCCACCTGACCTTTCCCCGGCAAGCAAACCTGGAGAACAGAGTGACTTTCTCTTTAGAAGCGCATCCCACTGGAAGTCCACTGAGCCAGTGTGCCTGGGTCCCATCCCTCTAGCTCTGTTTCCTGGCTCTTCTCTGGAACTGAAGCAGCCCTGGCAGCAGGGCCCAGACTTTCTATCTGCATCCTTGGACTTGAGTGCTGTGCTGAGAACTCAGTGCTTGGTAAGGCCGGCACCACAGACAAGTGTCTAAATGGATGAATTTGTATCACATGCAACACAGGATCATACTCGCAGTTTGTAAGGGGGAAAAAAATCATATACCCTTTGAGAAATACCCAGACTATGGAGCAAACTATGTTACCAGGACCCAGAGACCGTAGAGATGAGGAATGATCTTTTATTTTAAAATGTTTTATGGAAGTACTCCAGACCAAAATAAAGGCTTTTTAAAAAAAATAAACAAACAAAAAAGAAAGTAACAAGAAAGGAAGAGTGCAAGAAAGAATACACAGTCTAGAGATCCCCTCTAAGGAGTCTCGAACATAATAGATAAGAACATCTCTGAAGTACCAGCTGAACTGACTGATTCCCAATCGTTAGCCAGAACCACACCATTAAAAATAACCAAGAACAGGTGTAAAACAGATAACCAATCCATAAGAGCCATTTTATTGTCAATGCTGACTCACACAATCAAAACACCGAGGAGGAAAACCATACACGTCCACAGAAGGAAGATTCTGAGCAGCCTGGGGACACATTAAGATTATGTACACTGGAAAACACCTGTGGCATTGGCTCCTCAATGTCCATCTGTAAAGGAGCAGGGAAAAGTCAGTCTCCATACAGCACGTCTCAATGAGGCTAGGACTTGGTAAAAACAAAAGGAAAAGAAAAGAGAAATGCATGTATTGCATCGCAGAGTTTCCCAAGGACTACCCATTAGCCAGCATGTGAAGCTGTTTCTCTTCCTTCCTCCTTCCTTCCTCACCGCCATCATCCCGTAGTCCCCTGCGTGGATCTGTGGCTGATGAATCGTAGGGCGCTGACTCTTCCTGACAGTGGCTGTCAGTGCTCAGATCGGTAGGCAGGGAAAGTCTCTGTCCGATGGAGCTTCAGAGGGCTGGTGACATCTTTTCCAAAGAGAATTTAAAAGCAAGAGTTATGTGTCAAGAAAGTTCAGGATCAAATTAGCTAGTAAACCCATTTTCACTTAATTGGAATGCTTTTTGTTTAAGGCCACTGAGTAATACGCATATTAACAGCATGATTATCGCATCACATGCATGTCGTCTTTTTCCTGGAGCCTCGATCAATCTAATATTAGCACTTATTCCCTTCCTTAATTTTTCATCAGCACCAACATTGATACCCAGAGATTTCAGAGGCAATATCAGAAAAAATAAGGACAATGGAGAAGAAATTTTAAGGTAGGCATTTTTGGCAAACCTTCAGAAATAATCCAATGGTATACTTTTATTTAATATGTCTAATACATGACTTCTTAAAACCAATTTTGCCTTTTTTTTTTAGTTGGTCGTGAGGCCCAAACTCTGGGCCTGGGCACTGTCCCTCAGCTCTTCAGTTCAAGGCAAGTGCTCTACCACTTGAGCCACAGCACCACTTCCAGCTTTTTCTGCTTATGTGGTGCGGAGGAATCGAACCCAGGACCTCATGCACGGGAGGCAAGCACTCTACCACTGAGCTACCTTCCCAGCCCCTAGCCTTCTTTATTTCAAGTTTAGATTCCAATCTAAGCCAAGTCCAAGAGTCAGGAATTAACCCTTTTGTGACATTAACACAGAGCTGGTGGACTTTCTCTGTAAAGTACCAGACATTAATTAGACAGCAGCAGCCCCTAGCAGCCAGTGTTAACAGGTAAAGAATGAACATAGAGGTGCCAATACAACTTAATTAAGGAAAGCAGACTGTGGGCTGCAGTAGGCCTATAAGCAGCCATAGGTGGACAATCCCTGAAGACACCTGCTGCCCCCTGCTGGCTCAGAGTGACCTCAATTTATACTGCAGAGACAGAGGCTTTCAGGATTAGGCCTTGGTCACTATATGTGGTCACAGAGCCAGAACAAATCCAGAGAGACAGGTCCAGCCCTTAGGGGGTCTGTAGCAGCCACTTGCACACAGGAAACAATACTACATTAGACTGAGGGACGCAAGTGGCTCTCAAGCTTTTAATCCGAGCTCCGTTCTCCTGTCAGCACAGGGCCTCCCTGAAGCACGTTCCACGTGCCCTCGTGTGGTTCTCTTAGCAGCTGCTCACAATGGCCAAGCAAGACGGGGTCCGTGAGTGAAGAATGAGAGCCTGGTGGGTTGAGGGCTTGCTCAGGGCAGCCAGGCTAGCAGACAGAGCACTGGAATGGAAACCAGTGTCCAGAAGCCAGGGCTGCTGCCCCCCTGACCGGGTCTTCACTATGGGAGAAAGCGCAGTCCGGAGTCATGCAAGTCATTGTCCGTCTTGAGGTCCGAACGTCTCACGGGGATGCTTCCGGTTCCTTGCAGTTCCCTGTCTGTTTTGGAGATGACAGATGCTTGGAGCCAGAAGTGACTTCCGGGAAGTTTGCCTTGACTGCTCCATGAACAACTATCCTAGCACTCACACACAGTGTATGCGCAGCAGTTAAGAGAGTAGCAGGCAGTGATCTGAGAGCAAGGATGGGTGACAAGAAAACGGGGTCTCCTACTCATCTCTCCAGGGCCCAGACAGAATAGGAGGAGCGAGTCCCCACAGAAGGAAACAGCCAGTTCTTAGGGCAAAGATCTCTGATCTGATCGTGATAGAGGTGCCTACTTTTCCCGGTTCCTGTTTGAAAGCAAGTGATCTTATCCTTAAGGCAAATCCATCGGAGCTCTCTGAGCATGCTGGAGTCATGGAGCATCTTAGCACAGGGTGGCGCTCTGAAGATGATCGTGTCAAGGGGCATCGAGGGCGAGGGACAGGTGCACTTCTCTGAAGCCAGACCCTCCCTGCTCATTGGCCATGGTCCTGGGCCTACCACCCCACTGTCTCCCTTGTTCCCTTGCAATCCATTCAACCAAAATATGAATTGAGTTTGACATACTGCTGCGCTCAGCACCCTCCCATGCACACTTGCAGAAGCAAATCTTGGCCACTTGCAGCCATCCCCTGCTGACTGCCATTCACACCCTTCAGAGGTCATCCCCCTGACACCTTTCCACCCTATATCGCCTCCGATTCAGGGCCTTTGCACATGCTGTGTTTCTCTATGGAGATTGCTTAGCCCTGGCTGGCTGTTTGGCTGCCTCATCTCAACTCAAAGTCTTGGGATACATGCTGGAGCATCCACTGACTATGACTCTGTCTCAATCTCAATAAACACTTGCTTTCTGTAAGTATGATCAGCATTTCCTTTGCCACTTACACAGATCAAATGGGAAAGGAAATGTTTAGATAACTGTTGCTCCATTTGATTTTAAGCTGTAGGGGCAAATACATACCCCAGGAGCACAGACAGATGCAATGTATGCATGCATACATACACAGATATGTGTATGTTTTCTGCCCCAGGGCTGGCAGAGAGGAGCCAGTCCATGATCATCTGAATTAATGAGAACTAGCTGAATGGCACAGGAAATCCTTCAATCTGAGCTACTTGCTGGATCTTGGAGAGGTGTGAAGCCTTCAAGTCCTTGGTTTCCCAGCAACAAATGAGAATAAAATACTCTCCAGGGTAGCTGTTTAGAGATCCAAGTAAGACTGTGTGTATTAAGAAAGTGAAGCCAGTCCTCCGCAGATGCTTACAAAGAGTCATTTTTAAAAAACATACTCAGAGACTAGACCTGACCCCCCAGTAAAGCCTAAATGTGGGACTTCAAGCATCCGAGGTATATTGATACTTTTAAAAGGAGTGTCACAGTCAAGAAAATTACAGAGCTCTGGTTTAAGCAAAATGAGCTACATCATTTGTTGCAGGACACCTCAGAGAGTTGAAAATGGTGGCTTCTCTGTTTCCTAGAGGCAAATTTCCTATGGAACATTCACCTCCAATTTGATGATGGACCAGCGGACTTTTCTGGAAGGGTGTGATCTTCAACAGTTATCGTCCACAGACACTCTTCGGAAGCCACTGTTTTTGTTTTACCCAACGTGTTTCTGAAAGAATCCTGGGGCTATGGTGCTCCACCGAAAGCTGGTTGGATATATTTCTTCCAGTGGACTTTTCTGGAAGGGTTTGATCTTCAACAGTTATCGTCCACAGACACTCTTCGGAAGCCACTGTTTTTGTTTTATCCAACGTGTTTCTGAAAGAATCCTGGGGCTATGGTGCTCCACCGAAAGCTGGTTGGATATTTTTCTTTCATAATGTCTTCCAGTTTCCCTGCTAGAGCTCCCTCCCATGTTGGTTTTGTATCTACCTCGCCACAGGACAGAATTTCCATGTGATAATTGGCAAATGGAGCGGAAGAAACGGGGAAGGGAAAATAAATCGTCTGCGCCTATCAACACCAGCACCGTCCACTCCCACCGCGGCAGCTGCAAAACTGAACAGCAGGTGGCGCGCGTGGACTAGGTTTAGGCAGGACACGGACACTTCCCTCAAACCAGCTTGACAAATCCTCCTTTAGGGTCTGAATTATTTCCCAGATTAATGTCCAGACCTGCCAGGAAAAGACAGCTGGAAATCCATCAGCGTAGGCCGCTTGTCCAGGAGTTATATTCCATAGAAGCACCAGCAAAATGAGAAGAAATGACGTCCTTGTGGAATACATAGGATCACCCCTTCCCCGGGGCCATTAACGTTTCCAGATACACCATGTTTTCCAGGCAAGGAAGGGGAAAGAGGGAAGTAGGTGGTGTTCTGGTTTGTTCTTTGACCACCGATGATAAGCAAGATAACTTGAGATGTCTGTGAGCATCTTTCAAACTCCAGCCACTGGTTTTAAAAGTCTAAGGTAGTAACACACACTTCTAAAAAGAATGTAAATATACCTGAGCCTGGTGGCACCTGCCTATAGTCCCAGTCTACCTGAGAGCAACAATGGGAGGACCCAGCCTCAAGCCCACAGCAGGTCAGAGTTAACAAAACCACCTGTCAACGCAAACCTTGCATGGAAGTGCACCGCTGTGGGCTCAGCTAACAGGAGGCGGAGGAAGGAAGATCATGGACCTAAGCCAAGCCAGAGCCTCGGGCCCTATCTCTCTGAGAACCAAATTTCAAAAGCTCAAGTGCTTGGGTAACCCTAAGATGAAAGAAAGAAAAGCGAATGCATTTGAATAATCTTTTATTCAGAAGACTGAATAAAACAGAGTAATAGTCTCCGTGGTAAACAGGGACAAAAATTATAACTCAAGTACTGCAAAAATAAACTAAACTGGACGTGAGGGCGTTAACCTGGAGCGAGCCCCTCCCCCGGCTACTCATCCGCTCTGCACATGCTCGTACACTAGCTCTGCACACGTCTGGCTGCTCTGCGCATGCTCTCGCGCAGGAAGGAGGGCGCCATTGCGTTTCTTCATTGCATCAATGCACAGGGGGCGGCTTGCTCGCCGGCTTTGGGGAGCCGGGGTGAAGAGTCTGGGGGTCACCGAATTCCAGGAGCCGCTGCGCATGGTGGGGCTGGCCAGGAGGAAGGCCGAAGGACGGAGATGCGTCCCGGGCGTGGAGGCTGGAGGCTGGCACCCTGGGTGACACTCATTCGTTCGTCCTCACGTTCATTTCTTCAGTATCTGCGTGGACGCCGGGGTCCCCGGGGCCACGCATTTCCGACTCTGGGATGTGCCCTTCCCGAATGCCAGATTCTTCCTGGGGGGGGGGTGTCCCCTCACACAGCTTTGTTGGTTGGCTGAGGCCAGCCCACAGCTCTGGCTATGGATGAAGTGCTGGCCTATCCATGAAGTGCTGGCCTGTAAATGAAGCGCTGGCCTATCCATGAAGCGCTGGACTATCCATGAAGTGCTGGCCTATCCATGAAGCGCTGGACTATCCATGAAGCGCTGGACTATGGATGAAGCTCTGGACTATCCATGAAGTGCTGGCCTGTAGATGAAGCACTGGCCTATCCATGAAGCGCTGGCCTATCCATGAAGCACCAGCCTATCCATGAAGTGCTGGCCTGTAGATTAAGCGCTGGACTATCCATGAAGTGCTGGCCTATGGATGAAGCTCTGGACTATCCATGAAGTGCTGGCCTGTAGATGAAGCGCTGGCCTATGGATGAAGCGCTGGCCTATGGATGAAGCGCTGGCCTATCCATGAAGCTCTAGACTATCGATGAAGTGAAGTAAGCCACAAGCCCTTGCTGGTCAGTTGCTCTTTATCGTGGGCTGTGAAAGGGCACGTGGAGGGAAGGTAAGAAGGAGCCTAAGTAGAGCCTGGTGACTGCTCTTCTGGTCTTCAGGAATGACAGGGAGGGTTTGCTTTCGGCCACACCGTGTGACCCAAGGCAGCTTCCCACCTCCTGCCCGGAACCCCGGCCCTCCAGGCAGGGCCTTTCTCGGAGCCTGGTGGACACGCAGAGGTGGGCTCGCTCAAGCCCCCGGACTGCCCGAGCTCCGGCAGGACTGGGCAGGGGCCTGGCACCCTGTGCTTCTAGGAACGCCCCCAGCCATTCTGTTATCTGCCTGTTGGACTGTTCCCTGGGTGGTGTTACAAGGTAAGAGACGTCAGCCACAGGCCAACAATCTGAACTCCACATCTCTAGGTGCACAGCTCAAAAAGAAAAAGAAAAATCTAGCCTGGCATCCATTTCCCAGGTGGCGGTCACAGATGCGAATCCTTTAAGGATCTGGGGTCCGGCAGGCGGGGTATCCCGCGTGCCCAGGGCCCCGCTGCGTGTGGCCTCTCCGTTGGGGGAGAGGTGTCCCCAGACAGCCCACGGTGGCCAAGACGCCCCGGACCCCCGGACCCTGCGCAGGCGCCCCGCTCACCTTGCAGGCGGTAAAGCTGCCCGGTGCTGTGCTGTCTGGTGATGTGCTGCCAGTAAGCGCTGCGGGGCAGGGGCACCACGGTGCTCAGCGACGCGGCGCGCTCGCTCATCTTCATCTGGAGCTGCGGGGACGGAAGCAGAGACACGCGTGAGTCTGAAAGGGACCCCAAGCCAGCTGGCAGGAGGACAAGGGGCCAAGGCGCCCAGCCAGCCAGGCCCTGTGCGCTCCCAGCCAGCCAGGCCCTGTGCGCTCCCAGCCAGCCAGGCCCTGTGCGCCCCCAGCCAGCCAGGCCCTGTGCGCTCCCAGCCAGCCAGGCCCTGTGCGCTCCCAGCCAGCCAGGCCCTGTGCGCTCCCAGGCCGCCTCACGGGCCATGGCCGGGAGCTGCTGTTTAGTGGCTCCATAGTCTCTTTGTATAATGAAAATCAAATAAGCAGGGCTATAAAATTCTTTCCCCCTATCTCTTGCATGGCACGTAATGAGGTTGAGCATTGTCACTTACAAACCACTCCCATTCTGTGTCTGAGATCTTTCTCCCGCTGTCCCTTCTTTGGTGGTTCTGATGATTGAACTTAGGGCCCCGTGAGCTTGCTAGGCAAGCAGCATATGCTTTTTTTTTTTTTCTTGCTTGAGCTTTCAAGGAGGGCTGTGAGTCTCTCTCCAACTTTTTGTCCCAACTGACCTCAGACTAGGATCCTCCTGATCTCTACCTCCCAGATAGCTAAGATTACAGACTTGAGCCATGGTGCCACCAATGCATTTGTGTTAGTTGAGACAGGGTCTCATGATGTAGTCCAAGACCAAATCCCATTACCTCCACCTCTCAAGCTCAGGGGTTACCGGTGTGCAACCACCCTACCTGGGAAGATCTGTTGTTTCTTCCTAAGGTAATGAACATGTTCTAGAATTGGAATGGTGATGGTTTCCCAACTCTGAAGATACTAAAAGCTACTCCGTTTCTACTTGTAAATGCTATAGGTGTATACTTAGGTGCACACAGCATGCCACCAAAAGTATAAAATCAGATCACAACACATGTGATGCAGATTGTTAGAAAAGCACGGCAAGGCCCGCTAGGGCGTGCACACTTCCGGTCACGTGGTCTCAGAGGAAGCGCCATGTAAACCTAGGCCCCCACGTCAACTTGCCAAAGCAGTGCAGCAGCAGCGGCGGGCACCCAGTCAGATCCCACCTCACACCTCCCACCCCCTGCCCCTCCCACCCGCCTTCCACCACCAGCACCATCTCTACCATCTCTGGTTTTAGTTTTAGACTCTGAACAATCCTGGGGTGTGGTGGCTCTGCTGGCCGACCTGCCTTTCCGTTCTGACTGCGGAGCCAGGAGTGGGAGCAGAAACACAGCTGCATATACGGCAGAGCACTGTGTCAAGGAGCAGTCAGGACAGAATTCTCAATTACTGGTACTGTAGGTCTTGACTGCGCCCTCAGACTGGACCCGTTGAGAAACGAGCACAGATCAGCACCACAGCCAACAGACCGGGCCTCCTGGAGACCCAAGTCCATCCTCATCAGACGCCTCTCACACCACTGCCCTTGAAGGTCACCCAGGGCAGCCTCTGACAATAACAATCCCGGTGATGCGAATGCTACTACATTCACTCAACACAAGGAGACACAGCAGCGAGGGAGAAGCCCCAGCACACCATTGAGAATCTTCTAAAGCCCAGCCAGTTCTGATATGCTCAGCTTAAGACTTTATTTATCTATCTATATCTATAGCTATTACCTATATATCTGTCTATATCTTTATCTATATATAGATAGATATCTACCTATATATCTGTCTCTCGCTCTCTCTCTTTCTCTCTCTCTCTCTCCATATAGATATACGACCAACAGATTTCTAGGGATATTTGAAGCACAGCCCCTGGGCAAAGGTGGGTCAGAAGGGACAACAATCCAGGAAGGAGGGTTGGAGATGAGGTCAGCAGGGCACCATTACTTTCTACTCAAGCCCAGCTCCCTCCTTCATGCTACACTCCATGACTCTGCCATTCTGCATCCTGAATAATAGCACCAAGTTTGCCCACTGTCCCCCTGCAAAAACAGTAATTACAAACACAAGCCACCTATGTTTTCTGGACCCTGAGTCAAGAGTTGCCCACCTTTAGCAAGCGGAAGGGTCACCTGGAGAGATGTGAATGCGGCTTCCTGATCCCATCCCCAGTGTTTCAGCCATGGGACCCAGAGATGTGGATTTTCTAACAAATCCCCAGAGGGTTCTGACTGCAACTCCCCAGGGACAGCACCGAGAGGACCCATGGCTATAATTCCCCAGGGACCAATGTCCTACGCTGTTTATTACCTTTTCTGAGAACAGTTTCCCATGACGCCCAAACTTAGAACGCAGAAAATCTGTGCTAATGTCTAGAATCTGCTCCCACTAATTGCATGAATTAGTCTGGCTATTAACCTCATTAGTCCTTAATATCTTGTCAGAAAGAGAGAGAGAGAAAGAGAGACACCATTTGCAGCCATTTCCTAGGCCATGCATGATTCATTGTAGGGTTCTATAAGTGTGAACAATATTTATAAATAGCCCTATATCATGAAACTCTTTTTAGCAAGAGTTTCAGGAAAAGATCATAATGAGAACATGCATTTATTTTTAAATCTGAACATTTGATATTGGAATGTGTTTCTAGTTCAAGAGTACAAGGTTTAAAAGGTTTTCAAGAAACTAGGTACTGGAAACTCATAGTTGTACTCCTAGCTACTGGGGAGGCAGAGATCAGAAGGATGGTGATTTGAGGCCAACTTCAGGGGGAAAAAATTCACAAAACCCCCATCTCAATAAAAACAACAAAAAAAGCTGAGTATGGCAGAACACGCCTGTCATCTTAGCTGCAGTGGAGAGTGTAACTAGGAGGATCAAGTTCCAAACCAGATGGAGGGGAAAGCAAGAGCATTTCAAAAATATCCAGAGCAAAAAAGCACTAGGAGCGTGGAAGAACACCTCCCTAGCAAGCGTGGAGCCCTGAGTTCAAAACCCAGGACAAAAATAAAAGACTCCAAAGCCACAACAAGAAAGCAACACATCAAGCAAGCAAGTAAATATAATTTGCTTAGAGAATATATTTCACTGTCTGCATCTACTTGGTACAGACTCATTTCAATGAGCTCAAGATCCAATTATCTCCATGGAACAGGAGAAAACAAAAGCTCTGGGGTCCTCAGACTCCACCCCAGCCCTGCTCAAAGACCCTCCATCTTCACATATGGAATATATTTTGCCTGGAACCAAGAGGGGAAGGAAGTCTCATGTTTTGTGATTAATCACCCATGTTTAAATATTATCATACACGAAGGCCTTTTGGGTTATTTTTTCTTATGTTCATGAAGTACAGAAAAGATTCTAAGGTTGATTTTTAAATCAGTCTTGCATTCATTACTCTAGATAGATGATAGATACATCCATCCATACATACATATACATAGATACATAGATGATAGATAAATAAATGATAGATACATACATACATAGATGATAGATACATGCATACATACATACATATACATAGATACATACATACATAGATGATAGATAGCATCTTTGATATGCTAGCATATTCCCTTCCAGTATCTTTTTAAATGTTCAGAATCATACATATGCAAAATAAATTTGATCTTATATGTGTATATGTTTAGATATATATTTATATGTATATACAATATCCAGCCATATATTTATAACATAAACTTAACACTAATGTATGTGCAGTTATGCCACCTTTATTTAAAATATTATGCAGAGCTTCTCATGTTTCTACATACTGCCATTTTCTACAATTGTAATGTTTATAAGGTAAACATCCTTTGCCTACAGCTTAGCTCCCTTCATTTTTCTAACCTTTTTTTTTTTGGTGTTACTGGAGATTGAACTCAGGACCTCATGCTTGCTAGGTAGGCACTCTACCAATTGAGCCACACACCCTGCACCCTATTGGGTTATTTGTGTTTGGTTGTTTCCCATTAGCCTGGACTAATATGAGCTGTGATCCTCCTGTTTTTGCTTCCCTGACAGGCACATACCACTGAGCCTAACTATGTGTGTCCCTTGTGGCTGAGATACGTATCAGACACATGTCATTGGTGGAATTGAGGTTGATTATTGTACTGCCCAAGCTAGCCTGTGATCTCCTGGTCTCTGTCTCCCCAGTAGTTAGGATTACAGGCTTGAACCAGTGTACTTGGCTTCTTCTTAACTATTGTTTTTAACTTTCCAGATGACACCATGAATTTATACTTTAACTTAAAAAAAATAAGTAAACGTTGAGTCAACTTTCTTTATAAACTCTTTTGTTTTTTTCTGCAGATCACACATTTCATTCTGGGCCCCATTATGTCATCAACGTGTTCCAGTGACCCGCTTTTCAATGAATTTTAAATTTAAAAAATTTGTGTATCAAAACAGATTCCCCAATGACTCAAAACTCACTTCTAAATGTGGTTGCCGTATCAGAAAAACAGGTTAGTCATTTCATTTTTGTTCTAAAGGAAGTCTTACATGACAGCCAGTAGCCAAAAAGAAGAGTTAGGCTTTTATGAAATGGCAAAACATCCTCAAGGCACAGGACAGTAATTCTTTACCCAGGCGCATCCAACAACAAACAAAACATAACCCACCGAGATTGCCTTGTCTCCTCTCTGTTCGGTAAGACTTCCCATCAGTGCCATGGGACCCAAACCATCTGACCTTCAAAATGCATCCAGAGCCCGCCACTTCTCACCACTTAACCGCCATCCTGTCCCACGATCACAAGCTCACACTCTTGGTCCTGCTCTCCAGTCCTTTTAAAAGCAAAGTCATCTTGGTCCCACCCCAGAACCCCACCCCCAGAAAGCATCTCAAGCCTCGATTGTCTTCAAGGTCAGACAAGCTGTGGCCATGGTTATACCCTACACTCTCCTCGTGTTACGTGCTCCAGTATCATCAGCCTCCATCTACCTGAACATGCAAAGCTGTCTGGGAGCCTTGGCACACTAGCTCCCTTTTGCCAGGAACACCTGGCCCTCAGCTTGTTTTTGAGACTCCCTCGTCACTGGCCTCAGCTCCCTGCCTGAGTGTGACTTGACCAGCATGACAAGCCCCCGTCATTTCT